TGCCTGTTTGCTGTTCAACAAATAAACTCCTAAAGACATGGCTAGGAAAAGCCAAGTATTTTTGCATACGTTATAACTCGAAAACGAAGCAAAAACCAATGACAAAAATACAGGGCCGCGTTTTTCTATTACATTGAAGACCGCATGCAAAAATTCAAGCCCTTTCGCGAAAATTTTTTTTTTCACCCAAATCGTCACTTAGCATGGTTTTGCACTCACCCCTTCAATTATTTACTGTTAACTTGACCTGCATATAGCGGTCTCCTGTATATAACGGACGTGATCACCCTCTAGACGTCCTGAATCCACAATTTTATTATCTTTTACCTCCATATAACGGTCACAAAATTGGTTTACAATTAACAAATAATGACAAGCTTTATTCATCAGCTCGTTGAATAGCAGCCACCAAGGCAGGGGTCTCACAAAAATACAAATATTAGTACTAAACACAACTACTAATACATGTCATCGCCTATGTCCAACACATGCGTGTGGCAAATAACATTAAAGTGTCACTTTCAAATAATAGTTAGTGTAACTGTAACAATACAACCGTACCACACTGTTTTCACTTTCGTCATGGTTCCCTGATTATAACACTTAACTGTACTTATCAAGTTGACAGTGGCGGTTTTACGCTGTATTAGGCTACTGTTTTATAGACCAAGACAGCCCTCGGCATCAAATTTCTCTTCTATCAGCGTCCGATGCAGCCACTCACAGGAGACTTCTCTGAGATCAAAGTATACTGCACCTCTCTTAAAGTACATCATGGACATTTCATGGGCCTTTTTTATCGTGTTTATTGTGTTGCTGTTACTCATTATTCTCAGTAAAACATAAATTGAGTGATTATTTGCACATAAAAATGCTATTTATTGACTTCCAGGGGAGTTTAAAGGAAACCTGTGTACAGTGGTCACCCTGTATATAACGGTCGCCTGGCAATTTCCCAAGTGTGGCCGTTATATACAGGTTTGACTGTAGTTAACTGCAATGTGGAGTACATGGTAATAATATCATAAGAACTTGTATAAAGTTATTTCTTAGCCTGATACTCGCTGAAAATAAGTATTCTTTCTTTTCCAGATCAGATGCCAACAGCAACAAAGTGGACTAAATCTTCAAGGAGTTTTCTTCAGAAGGGCTGTATGTTCTGTTTTGCAATCCATCTCTTGGGGCAACTAGGTGAACAAAACTCTTGAATAAGCCAAGTTCTGCTCTGATTATTTGACTTCAGACATGCAGTTTATGCCTTGATTATTTACACAATGAGTAAGAAAAGCTCTTAAATCACACTCTTTAGCAAATACATTTTTAAACCAATCATCCATGAAATTGTTAAATTTACCTTCTGCATCCAAAAATGATGTTCAAAAGTATGATGTTTTTTTTTTTCAGAATTGGATTACATTTTCAACTTTGGTGAATGCATATTAACTCAGTTGGCAAGTGGGCTACAGCACCAATTGACTGGCTGATTGACATTCTCATGGTAGCTGTGGTCATTCAGTTTGTTTTATACATTACCAAAAACTGACAGACTGATTGATTGATTGGATGGTTGACTCGACTGACTGACTGATTGATTGATTTTTTGATAGATTGATTCTGATGACCGGCTGACTCACTCATGACTGGCTGACTCACTCATCACTGACTGACTAATTGACTCATAATTGACTTACTGAATGACTCATTACTGACTGTCTGTCTGACTGATTGACTAACTGACTGACTAACAGATTGACTCATGACTGACTGACTGAGTGACTGACTGTTTTGTGAGCGCTGATTGACTGACCAATTGACTCATGACTGACTGACCGATTGACTCATGACTGGCTGACTAACTGTTTCATGACTGCTGACTAACTAACTGACTGACTGACTGACTGACTGACTGAACCGTTACTGCTGACTGAGTTGCTGATTGACTCATGACTAACTGATTGATGGACAGATTGACTCTGACTGACTGACTGAATGTTTCGTGACTGCTGCTGACTGACCTGTGACTACTGACTGACTTGCTGATTGACTGCTGGCAGACTGACTAACTGACTGACTGGCTGATTCACTGACTGAAGAACTGACTCAATAACACATTGTGACCGGCTGATTCATGACTGACTGACTGACTGACTTACTGTCTAACTGACTGACTGATTGACTGCTGACAGATTGACTGGTTATGGACTGGCAACTGACTGACTGGCCTATTCCCTAACTCACTCACCGACTCAATGACTCATGCTTACTGACTGACTGATTGACTGACTGATTGACTGACTTACAGGCCAACTCACTCGCTCACTCACTTACCAGTGGACAGGCTCTGTGATTGGCTGATTGACTGACCAACAGTTAAAACTGATTTGCACATGATGTATAATTGGCATTCATAATCCGTTAAACTTCTGTATCAAACATACATCATCTTGACAAAATTAGGCAAAAATGATATATACGAATTCACTTTTAATTAAAAAAGTCTTGGCACAGTACATTGCATGTCTGAAGTATTGAACAGAGTCAAACCTCTCGAAATGACTGCCTTGTGTAAAGTGACCCTCTGGAAGTTACCGTCTCGAGTCTGAAATGCGACTACGTTGTAAAAGTCCCAAATTCTCTCGTGCCGCTAAATTATTAGAGGAGAAATCTAACTATATAAACTCCCCTCTGGTTTGGCAAAGTGTACAGGAGGTTGCCTTTGGGTTGGTTTGACTGTGTCTCTATTCACTGCAAATTTGCTGGGTACGTTTTTCAAAGCATTTTCCTCCCCTCTCTGCCACTATACCTTCAGATGTCGTGAAAATCTTGACCAAAACGCACATTCAAGATTACAGTAGAAAATTTTTGGTTTGCAAAGTTTTTGTTTTTGTTCAACATGACGGATGTTTACTTTTGCGTGACTGATTTACCTTGTGATACGAAAAGAACGTAATAATAAGTGTCACGTAAGACGGGATATGCAAGTACAGAAGTATTTATCCTGGAGTTTAAATTTTCAGCTAAAGTATACTAACTCTTTAAGAAGCAACTACAAGATAGAGAAAACGGCTATTCAGAAAACAATTGATTGCAAACGTTAAAACTATTATTTTGATCAGCTAATATGCAAAAATTTATTCGTTCGTGCAAACAGCATGCACAAATTTGCATATTTGGTTTTTATGATTTCAAACCATTTGTTTTCAGCAGTAGAATTGCAGCTTTGACTACAATTTCTCAGCAATCTCTGTTGAATGAATCTTTTGATGTTGTGCAATCGGAAATTACAGAATTGAAAATACCGTTGAGGTGATTTATTTCGGATGTTTAATTTTCCGTGCACACAAAAAAATATCTTTCAGAGCCATTTTTTATTGTATTGAAAGCAAATATAAGCAAACCAAACATCAAGAATTTAATTTGTATACGGTTGCGAATATTCTCGGTTTTTCAGCGATTATGTGGAAACCATTCTTTCAGAGAAGGCATGTTGGAGAGGTTTTGGGAAACGTACTCTGAGGCAGTCCCAAGAGTGATGAACATTATTTCTCCTCACAGTAGTAATATATTTGAAAACCATCAACTCGGCATAGTCTTGATATAACGCCAAATTCTCAAAACTAGAATCAAAACACTGGGCATTTAGTAGGGAGAATTAATATGTCCATCTTGGGACTGAAACTCTTGTGTTTACAGTAGTAAAGGTCTTGATAAAACTTCACGGTACCATTGGCCTTAGTAAACGGTTTGCTTCTGTTCCAATGTACGCCACAGATATGTTTAAATTTTAAGACGGAATCCACCAGAACTTCGAGTAACAAATGGACAAAAACTTAGTACTAAGATTATTTACATCGTATTGCAAACTTCTGTACCACTGTTTTAAATATCTTCTCCAAAAAAAAAAAACCAATCATTTCTAGCAACGCCAAACGTCGAAAACAAATGTTGAACTTCGTATGAAAAACTGAAAGTACTGGTGAAATGAAACCGATGATGAAATTTTATGTGTTTGCACAATTTCTCTGAACTTTGAAATTTATTTTCTCTCGTTCCCAAGGGAAATTGTTTTCGGTGTTATTTCAGTCAACTATTTATATCTTAAGCTTTAAGAAAATGTTAAAAGACTGTAAAATACTTAAAATTATTCTGCTACCGGATATATGTCCACTAAAATCTGAAATTGCTCAATTTTCTACCAGTTTAGACTTTAACCCTTTGAATACCAACTACGCATATATATGCGTAATTAATGGTCGTGCTCTTTGTACCACTTGTGACGTCATCAATTTAAATGTCATCAGATATTCTTGATAAGCAGATAGTAGTACTAGGCTAGGCCTTTCCGCACAATGGTCAGGTTTAGATATCGACGACATTCCGACATCGCAAATCGAAAAACCACGTTATCAGTTTTGGTGCAAAAACGGTGGTAAAATGGTCCACTACGCCTATGATTGGTCAAGGTCCATTTCTAGGCTTCGCCCGTAATTAACATCCAACTTTTCACGGCGGCCAGAAAGAACATACAATGCAAAAGGTAACCAGTGTAAAAGGGCCGAGAAAAACAGAAAGGAAAGGGGCAACAAACAAAATTGAGATCGATTAATGGCAAAATTTTGGCTTATGCGCATGCCCGGAATTGAAGTTTTGCTTAATTTTGTACCTAATCCTCGAAAAATCTCTCCTTTTAGTAAAAAAAAAAGCTTTTTTAGCAAAACTTATGCTTATTTAGCGTCATGGCAGCTAAAAAACTTGACTAAACGGTTAAAAACGGTATTTTTTGGCGAAAGTTTGGTATTCAAAGGGTTAAGACAATTTGGTACAAATTCTCTTGAAATATAGTTCATTCATTTGAAGAGCACTGTACTCAAAAGACGTTTCTGTGGCGTACAGTGACATAAGAAACGAGCCGTTTATTAAACCTAAGTGTTAATCGTACTACAAAGTTTTATCAAGACTTCTCTAGAACTTGGCTTATTTTTGGAGAGTTAATCTAGTGCACTCAGATGGATGGATTGCAAAATAAAACAACAAGAGAGGAAAGATAACAAAATTTTATTGAAATAAACATTGTCTCTGTTGTCCATTACTTTTATTAAAAAAAAAAATAATAATAAAAAAAAAAAATAATCTAGCTAATCTTGTCCCCGCTCTTTGGGTCGCTTGCACTCTGCTTCTCCAAGTCAGTGTTGTTTCGTTTGTCCTTATTTAATATTCCAACTTCAAAATCCTGGTCTGTTTTATCTGATCCCTTCATTCAAGCCGGGGACGGTTGAGCACTTGGAAGAGTTGACCGTTTCGTCTCAAGTGGGGTGGACAGCGTAAAGGAAAGTGAGAGTTTGCTCCCCATGCCTCCGGGATCTCAGCCTTAATTTGTCACAATGCCACACTCGAGTAATTTTGGAATTAATGAGTTGAAAAATAATTAAAATGCCAAATTCAGAATTTGGTTGAAGATGCTAATCCGCAAGTTTATGCTTCCAAAAAAATAAAAGATTTACCGATAAGCTCGCCCTCCCGGAATAGTTTGGATGAAAACCCATTTTAGTTGGAAATGTCCGCAACCTGGACAAGAAAAACCGAGGCGCTAAAGTATGACGCTCAATTACAGTGCATCACCGTTGAAATCAAAGAAAGAATTAAACACAGAATCCGCCAGTCTGACCTCCGACCAAACCTCCGACCGACCGTCATTCCACAAACTTCGCCAAAGAGCACAAGTCGCTAATAGTCTCTCATCTGTGAAGCTACCGATGTCAGGTTTCTCTCTTTAATTTGGATGAAAGAAATTGGCCGATTATTACGGTGAAAAAAGGTTTAGTTTTGGTTTAAAACTAAAAATACGGAAAAGGTTTAGATAATTAAGTGTATTCAGCTTGTTTGGTTGTTGTCCTATCTCATATCACGTGACGTTACTCTGAAGAGTTGTTTATTCAAATGCAAGTCAAATTCCCGTGCGACTGAATGAATAATTAGAAAGCCAATTGTCCAGAGAACATCCGTGATCTGAAACGAGCAATTAACATACAAAGCTGAGCGAGTCTTGTAGTTATTTGAAACCTAAAACAAGCTAAAGATTTAAGCCGAATCGCTGCTATAAAGTGTCAAAAATTTATGAGCTTAAGTTATTTTGTGTTAGAGAACTAAGTTAAATATACATGCACGAAGATTTAAAACTAGAAATTCATTGCTCAATAAATTATGCCATAATTTTTTTTTTTCAATTTGGCCAAGTTTTGGCTTGAAATGGTTTTGAATCCAGCCTGAGTCAATAATTTCCATTGCAGAGGTTTAATTTGTTAATCTCAGATTCCCATTGCAAGAGATTGTAGCGTCCTTCGCATCCGTGACTTCTCTGCTATCGCAATGTCTCTCCTCACTTTGTAGAGCAGCAGAATTACGTGACAATCCGAGGAACTCTGAATTTAGCGAGTTTTACTGGATTTTAGTGTTAAAGAAATTGAGCCCACCTAAAAAAAACACCCCCTCAAAACAAATGTTTATGATTACGAATTTTCATTGTTATTGCAAAAATTTTTGAATTCCTGTTTAATTGGCTGAATTAACTAAAGTACTTAAAAGAATACTCAATACAAACTGTTTCAGAATTGCTCTTCATCAACAGACTAATTAACTGTTAAATGGGATGCCGCCGTTTTATTAACAGTTAACCAGCCTAACAATGAAGAATTATTCCTCAAACACCTATTATATATTTATTAGTAAGTGTTTCCAATAAACATCTACTTGACAAATAAGAATGACTATTAAACACTCCAGAAACTTAAGGAAGGCATCAGCTGTCAGCATAAGGATTCCTGGGATCGTTTTGATAACTAGCATGAGCTATGATTGGTTGATGGTTATCAAGGCAACCATTGACTAATCACAGCTCATGTTGGTTACCAAGGCAATCCCAGAGACCCTAGTGCCAAAAATCTGGTGCTCAGTCCTCCTTAGTTTGAGGAGTGTCAATCAAACTAATGAAAGGAATTTTTTGAAAATCAAAATTAATATGTTATAAGATGAATGAAAATGAAAACAGAGAATGAAAATAATTACATCTGAAATTTTGAAAGTGAAAATGAAAATTTAATAAAATGTTTAGTAACAATTTGTTTTTTTTGCAAAAGCTGTTTTGTTTATAATTGGACCTACAGGATTTAATTTTATTATTTTAAAGTTAAAAATTATTTTTTTATGAAAAACTAGGAAAGAGAGAAAACCTGACCCTGAGTAGCAACTCATTCAGAGAGACCTGCAGTAACTCAGCTCAATTTAATGTCATTTGTGAAAATCCAATCAGGTCAGACCGACGAAATTCAGTGATCTCCTCTGTCTATGCCTTCTCTAGAGATGAACCTTCCTTGAGCCCCACAATTCAGCACTCCTGTTTTACACCCTTGGTTGTGGAACATTTCCTGACGCATTGACTGCAAGCAAGCATCTTGCTGGGCCGAAATTGATGGTGTGGGTATTGTGACAAATTAAGTGAAACCCTAAAGACATGAAAAGCAAACTCTCACCTTCCTTCACACTGTCCATCCTACTTGAGAGCAAATGGCCAACACTTCCAAGTGCCCAACTGTCCCCACTTGAATTACAGGATCAGAAAACGTTTCCCAGGATTTCTCAGTTGGAATATTTCAGAGGACATCAGAAACACACCTTCTCAGAGGCAGAGCTTCCGCAACCCAGCAGGGACATGATTGGCTAGATTCGTGTCTTGGTGTGTGTGCCACCTTCTGTCCTGGAATTAAATAATAACCTAACAACTTTAGTAGATACATGCAAGCTCATTAACATTAAAAATAATTTAACAACGGAAAATAATGGTTCTTTCTTGGTAATGGAAGTCAAGAAAAAACAACCAGGAAACCTTAACCTAGCCTTTGAGCAGGCTGCACTGAGGGTGTTGAGCGTAAATAAAAATATTCTTATTTAAAAATTCCGAGAATTTTTTTGGAGCAACTGAGAAGGCATTGTAAAAGTTAAACGAAAGCCGAAGAAAGCCTCCATTTCAACACCAAGTAAGAACCAAGAAATTAGTGCATTAAGCAACTTAATATACAGTGGTATTCATCAACAGCCTGCATTGTGTAAGTCTTAGGCATCATAATCATTTTGATGTGAATGTAAAATGTTTGTTTATACTTGTGTGAGAGAATCAAGATTTTGTTTCCACATAAGCAGAATAAAAACAAGAACTTAGAAATAAGGTAAAAATGCAGACTGTTGAGCTACCTTTGATTAATATTACTATTAAATATCATCATTAGTGATGAAAAATGGGACAAAAATTGAACAGATTGAAAACAAAATGAAAATAAGACTTTGAAAACTTAAAATAGTCCAATTCTAAAAAACCTCCGAGATGATGACCTACATATTAACTTTTGCGGAATTCTGAATTCTGATAACATTTTGTCTTCAGTAAGATTGCCTCTCAAAAAATTCCTACAAGCATTAAGTAGAGTCATATTTTCTACCTTAAGGCCAAAAACATTTGCATCAATGAAAATTTGGGTAAGTCTTGAAAGTAATCAATGATGCAGTCAAGAAGGTAAAAAAGATGGCATGAGCTAACCTTACTTTAACAGTGGGAAATTTTGTTTTGTTTGAGATAAGTTAATATTTTTTGCCTAGCAATAGTTTACGTTTGTGCTAATGAGCTTGCAGATCCACTTTTACTAAGTGTGCATTGAGATTGTCCAATTTATAATCGATTTATGAATTAAACAACCACCATCAAGCTGCCAAGCATTTTAAATGGTAAAGATGGATCAAAAAGGAAAATAGTTTTTAATTACTGACTCCCGAAGAAAATTAATAAAATTCATTTCCTACACAAGTTTTAAAAGATTAACCAGAAACAAACATTTTGTGATTATTTTAAGAAAGCTACAGTAAGTAGTAAGGTTGAGTGGCAGCGGGATGTTGATTGTTGCTCTGAAAGAGTCTAGTAGTGAAATAGTTTTTGCTTTTATGAAAGAAGTACATTGTACACTAAATATAACAAGTAATCATTTAGCAAGCTATCCTCAGGGCTGTGACGTATTTTTTAGCTAAATTCTAAAGTTCTACCAACTATCAATTTTTCATAGCCTGTAATGAAGCACACCCCAATTTGCAAGAGCGGAAAATTGAAAAACTGCACATCCTGCATCCTTCTCAGAGTTACATGTAACTTACTCTAAGGTACTCAGTGTGGTTCCAATTTTTAAGGTTAAGGATGGAACCTTAGCATATGCCCAATAAAACAAAAATGTGTTTTAATTAGAGATTACCATAAGTGAGTTCTTAGATGTTTTGTTTTCCTATTAAAATAAACATAATTTTGCAAATTTTTGGATTTGAGTCTTATCAGAACAATTGAGACTTAGAGGTAGCTGCCAAGATCAGTACAGAACCACAGAAGAAAACAATTAACTGGACGGGTGTCTTTCTTGTGTTTGCAAAAACTGTGAATTTTGAATTGAAGAAATTAATAAATTCTTGAAATTTAGTTGAAAAGTGAGCTGGTTGTAAATCTGCAGAGAAAACTACCTCTCATTCCATGTACAGCTATGGTGATATAGCAAAATGTTCAGAGATCATTTTTCTTTCAGAAGAATTAAGCACTTATTTAAATAATGGTGGCACACACACTTATGTATAACAAGAATATTATCTGACTCAGTGCTTATCCTTGCATTGGTATGAAACTTGTGCACTTACGGTGGTCTGTAAAGTATTGGTGATTGTGGTACAGAGTATGTTAGTTGCTAGTTAATCCTGCAGTGTCAGTGACTGTATCTTAGGTTTAAACTGAAGTGCTGATGTCAGGTCTAGTTTTTTAGGTTTGTCCAGGTCATAAATAAATCTATTCATTTGTAAGGTGCAAGTAGTTGTTGATGTCAGATGTTGTCAGTCTCAGTCCATCCATTGTAAGTCAAGTTTGTGCTGGTTCTGTTTGAAGTTAAAAATTGTTGGTTGGCTTGTTGAGGTCATAAAAAGTCATTTGTAAGGTGTAAGTAATTGTTGCTGTCAGATGTTAGTTTCAATCCATCTCTTATTTGTCAAGTTTGTGCTGGTTCTAATCTGTTTGAAGTTAAAGTTTGTTGATTGATTTGCCAAGGTCCAGGTCAAGGTGCAAGTATTGCAGTTGTTGATGTCAGATGTTGTCAGTTTCAATCCATCTGTCATTAGTCACCTTTGTGCTGGTTCTGTTTGAAGTTACAAAATAATGTACAGTTTGTTGGTTGGTTTGTTTAGCTCATGAATATAAGTCATAAATCTGTAGGGTATAAATAATTGCTGATGTCAGATAACTGTTGTCAGTTTCAATCCATTTGTTGTTATTCAAGTCTGTGCTGGTTCTGTTTGAAGTTAAAGTTTGTTGGTTGGTTTGGTGATGTCATAAATATGTTATCTGTAAGGTGTTAAGTTGTCAGTGTTAGATGTAAGTTGTGAAATGTTACTCTATCTATTGTAAGTCAAATTTGTGTCGGTTCTGTTTGAAGTTAAAGTCTGTTGGTAGGTTTGTTGAGGTCATGAATAAGTCATTTGTACAAGGTACAAGTATTTGTTGGTGTCAGGTGTTGTCAGTTTCAATCCATCTGGTATTAGTTAGGTTTGTGTTAGTTCTATTCTAGAAGAGAATATTTGTTGATTGTTTTGCTGAGGTCATGAAATAGTGACTTGCTGTTGCCATTGGTCAAGAGGTGTTTGTCCTAATAAGATAGTGACAATAAGGTTTTTGGAGTTAGTCAGCTTGACTTGCTCCAAACCAATGTAAGTAATTTACAGAGTCTACTATAAAAACCTAGTTGAAGACTATGTCAAGGTAAAGAAATAACCAGCTAACCTGAACAGGGGTTGTGGAACAACAGCTGGGTGAAAAACCTCCCCGTACGTCCACTTGCTCCTAGGAGGAAAACCCTGAGCCAGCTGTACCCCATGTTCAAAGGCCTCCCGGGCTGGGCCAAATACATACACAGTTAAATAGACAAACTACTTATGATACCATAAACCATCTTGCCTTGGTGGCTTGACTCTTTAAGCATCCTCTATTCCTTCTCTCATGTCTGTCCTGTTGTGCTTAAATTCCTAGCCTCTCCAAGTCCACACTGTCTTGTGATGTTCTCCATCTGGTCCAACATCCTGTGATGAAACAAGCACAGTTTAATAAGTTATTTTGGAATCCAATCTGAGCTTAAGACAGCTAGAAATATATATATTTCTTATCACTTGCACAGGTTTAAATTTTGTCTTGCTTAATATCTACACTAAGATAATAAGTCAATAAATGAAAAAAGAAACCCTACAAACTACCTAGTTTTAATATGACTCTTAGGTCTGTATATAGCTTAGTCCAACAATTAAGAGCCAGTGCCCATAACTATAGACCAAACAACGGCACAAGTCGAAAAATCGATTTCGCTCATTTTTTGCCCAGAGATTGGCCCTAGCTAGTAAACAAACGGACCATAGTTAGTTTCTGCTAATGCAGCTTTTTTGGGGAGAAATTTGCGAAAAACGATTTCGCTCCGATTGA